GGCCAGTTGCTCTTGCACCACCATGCTAGCCTAGTAATAAACATGCTGACCATTTAATTCTCATCAACAATCTTACCATTGAAAAGCATCTCATTCCAGAATAACCAAATGGTCTAAGCTAGGCCATGGAAAGCCACCAACCATATTGGCCGAGATGCAACTTTGATGGGCAGTTCACCCATAGGATTAGAAAAGATTTAGAATCCCCAGACATTACTAAGTGAACGTGCCATAATTTACACCAACAGAGCCAACACCACCAAGATACCGGATAATGATAAAAGAGATGGGCGGTTGATTCAGCTTTCGGTACAAAAGGGGCAGGGAAGTTGATCAGAGGGATGGTTTCTCTTGTAAAAAGTTTAGACTTAAAGGGTAGTATTTCGTGTATCAATATCCACATGAAGAACTGTACTTTTAGGAGAGTGAACTTGATCTATACAGTCTTTCAAATTTTGTCAAACTCTGAACCAGAAACAACAATTAGATCACAATTAGATCAATAAGGGTACTGTTGCCCAAACAGGACGAAGGTTGATGACAAAAGCATTATCCTCCAAACGGAAAGGTTTCAAAATTGATCTCCACACACAGGCTGTGTGTCTTACCACACCAGCTTTCGGCAGCAAAGATGAAGGGGCTTGATTGCTTTTGGCGTAGATCACCTTATTCTAGAGACAGTCTGATTCACATTCGAAATGCCAGATCCACTTGTTGAGGAGAGCACAATTTTTTGTTTTCAAATCAGCGACGCCAAGGCCGTACCTTGAAATCGGGTTACAGATCACATCCCACAGTCCCACTTAATCCAATTAAGAGTTCTTTCATTTACCTCGCCCTAGATGAATTTAGCTATCATTTTGTTCAGTGTGAAGCTTATTGAAATAGGTATTTGAAACATTGGCAGAAAGTAAACATGCAAGTTATTTAGGACTAATTTTACCAAAGTCAACCTACCGCCATGCGACAGAGAGCTGCTCCTCCAACTAGTCAGCTTATTAGAGAACTTGTCCACTACTAGTTATCATAAGGATTGTTGTTTGCTGGAGCGCCAAGGGGCAGACCCAAGTAGCTCGATGGAAAGGACCCCTTGTAACATCCTATAGATTCAGATATATGATTCAAAGGCTCGTATGCTATGTTAACCTCAAAGAGGTTTGGCTTCTTTAGAATTAACTCAACCCCGAAACCAGTTCAAATAATCTGATAATCATTTTGATATTTTTTAATTAACCATCAATAGTCAAGGCAGAGATAATCAGGTCGTCAATAAATTGGAGATGGCATGTTGAAAGATCTTCATCTACAATCATACCAAAAATACCTATATCGACCATCTTCTTCAAGGCTATGCTGAGACCTTCGACAATTATATTAAATAGGAGAGGCGATAATGGGCATCCTTGTCTCAATCTCTGTTTTGGGCAAAATGAGTCGGAGGGACCCCATTTACCAACACCAAAATTGACGCAGTTGAGAAACAACACTTCATCCATTTGATCCATTTGGTTCCAAAACCCAAAATCCTCAACATGATGACCAGAAAAGACCAATCAACTGAATTGTAGGCTTTCTTGAAGTCGGCTTTAAGAATTGTAACCTTGTCCCTCCATTTTCGATCCAAATCAACTAATTCATTAGCTAGTAACGCATAGTCAAGAATTTGCTTACCGAGAGAGCAAACAATTAGTCTTCATCAATGATTTCTCCAATGCAGAACACCAATCTTCTTGCAAGCACTCTCGCGAGAATTTTATACATGCTTCCAATAAGGCTTATAGGTCAATAGTCTTCCACGAGAATTTCACTTTGGGAATTAATGTTATGAATGAATAAATCAGTGCCATATCAAAACAGTTTCCTTCGTAGAACTTGCTAAAGAAATCCATCACACCTACTTGAATTTCACCCCAGTATTTTTTATAGAAGTGAATGTCGAAACCATTCGGATCAGAAGTGCGCAACCATCTGCGGAAGAGATGACAGACCACACTTCTTCCAAAGTAACGGTCTTTCCAAAGTGGCAGCAACCTCATATTTAAGTTGTCTGAAACAAATGTATCATCTAACCAAATTGATTGTGTTTCTTTCGCTGAAGGCTTGCTTGAAGTATTTAGAGAAAGTTTTTGAAATCTCAATAAAGTCGACGTAGATGTAGTTACCACTTGTTATTGAGTCTATATGGTTCCTCCTTTGTCTGATCGACGTGGAAAGGTGGAAGAATTATGTGTTGCGATCTCCCTCATTGAACCATTTAGGCCTTGATTTTTGAATCAAGTCTCTTTCTTCGCTTTTGTAAGCATTCCACAATCAATTTCTCAATGCGTTTACTTCACAAACAACATATGAGTTGGCAGTTCCTGAGCATATGTCCATGTCTAGAGATTAGATGCACCTCTCCATTTGATCAATAGAATCTGGATCGATTGGTTTATTTGCCTTCAACCACTCCTTGGAAGCTGCCTTGCATGCAAATAGATGTTTTTTATTCCACTGTCACGTCCTTTGGCACAGATCTCTTTTATCAGTTCAGAGTAACTCAGTTCGTCAGACTAAGAGAACTATTTGAAGGGTCTGGGCCGGGAGATAATAGACGTTGTTCCAGGGTGATGGGACAATGATCCGATAAGCTCTTCAGAAGGCAGGATTGCGATAACGATGACCACATTGCAAGAATTTCGAGCGATATCAAGAATCTTTCAATCCGACTTGCTATCTTCAATAAATTAAAGACTACAAATTCAGAATATTATTTTTAAACACTTTAAAAATATCAGATATGTCTATAACGTGAGATTTGAGAATATAATGACAAAAAATTGTTGATTTTAAGTTGTCAAATATAATTATTAAATTTGATCAAACTCATAGTAATATGAGTGTCAAAGAGAATTTTGGATACTGAGATCTCGAGTATTTCATAAAGAAACAATTGTCTTTAACTATTATACTGATATAGGTTTGATCAATTTTGAAAAATATCTTTGACAACTCAAAATTAACAATTGTCGAGTGATTAAAGATAAAATCTAAACATGAGTGTTGTCGTTGTTGTCTTTATTCAACTCGTACTTATGTAATTATGTGTCCTAAATACACATTGTATGGGTTATATTTTAAAAATAAAATTCGTATAGTTTAGATCCATGATTTTCCTTTATTTCATATTGATATTGTATAACACTAGGGGTGCTTAATAAGTTGAGTTGTTCAAACTCGATTCGGTCAAAACTTGACTCGGGTAGACTTGACTCGAACTCGAGCTTGACTCAAAATCTTAACGAGCTGAGTCGAACAAAGTCTAACTTGACTCGATAAGTTAGCGAGCAACTCGTTAATTTTTTTTATTAATTTTTAGTAGTTATCTTTAAAAATTATTTCATTCAAAAAAATTACTAATTTGTTAATAGATAATTGAAAATGATAAATTACTAATCTATTAATTTTCTAATAGATAATTAATATATTAAATTACTAATTAATCATTATTATTTTACTACACCAAAAAATTAAACCCTAATTATTATTTTAATGTATATATGGATTGTTATTTTAATGTTTATACTTTAAATTTGTTTCATACACTCTTTTGATAATTTTTTGTTAAATTTATTAATTTATATTTATAATAAGTTTTATAAAGTATTAGTATATTTTACTTACACTTAAAAAACAAAAATTTGGTGAGCTTAATAGGTAACAAGCTTAACGAGCAACGGTTTGACCAACTAATTTGGTCATTAAAGTTTAAATTTTTTTAATTTAACTACTCAACTTTAAATTACTCATGTTTTAATCAGTCTGATTAATTTTATTAATAATATTTTATGACATGATGGATTTATTATTATTTCATTAATATTTATTTTGAAAGTTAGAGTGACTAAATTAGGAGTAATGTGAAAGTTAAGTAATTAAATTTTTTAAAAAAAAAACCAATGACTAAAATAGGAGTGAGAAGATAGATAAGTGATGAATGATGTAATTTACCCATAAAAAAGTATCAAGTTGTAACAATTCTGCCAAGTTTTTAGCATCATGGTACTAAAATGAAACAAAAAACACATTATGTGTGATTTTAAAAAAATAAAAGTTTAAGTACTAAAACAGATCAAAACTGATAATTTAGATATTAAATACATAATTTACCCTTAATTTTATCCATTAGACAAATAATGCAAAGCTAAAACCAAAAAAAAAAGAAAAGATAAAAGCTTTAATGGACCCATTTAAATCTGATGTTGATGCCTTCATCATTTGGGTCTAAGTTAGGTTACCCACTTAATCTTTCACTCCCATTAACCTCTTTCACTAATCTGTGTCGGCTGCACCTTCTTTTTGTCCACAATATATCAGAGACATTCTTCAAAGATAAAACTGAATAATATCAATCAAAATTAAAACAATATATTTATCCCTAAATAATTAGAATAAAGAATACTTTATATCAATTTTTTGAGTATTATCACGTTTTAGAAAGTGTTTCAGAGTATGTATTAGTGTGTTAACACTTTTATGATAATGATTTAACGAAACTTTTGAATAACTAATCCCATTAGAGCCATAACTAATTAAAAATAACAATTAAAGGGTATTTATAAACTTCGTTTATTAATTAACGCTTAAATTAAATTAATATCATCATACCTGGCTGCTCCCATCTTCCATAGCTGCACCTAAAATGAAAGATCATCAAATCTCATACTGTCCTTTTAACAATATAACGCAGCACAAATTCATTAAAGTTTATTTATATATTATTATTTGATAAATACTAATTTGTTATTGATATGTATAATCCTATGGTTTTTTTAAAGTCTATCAAAAAAATTAAAAAATTAAAAAAAGGAGTTTTGGAATTCTTAGATAAAGCTCACAAAGGCAATCCTCAATTTTTCCCCCAAACCCTATTTAAAGAATTTGAAAAGCGAAACCCTTTAGAAAAAAAAAAACATTTTCTTTATATTATTATGTTAGCAATCTTCTTCTTCAGTGACCAACGACGATCACTTTCATAGAAGAAGAAAAAAACTGGGTACTCCCTGAAAAAAAGAAAATGTTGTGTCGTAAGAATTGGAGTTGTGTGGAAACAGGATCTGAACCAGTGTATCTGAACGTGTATGATCTAACGCCAATTAATGGCTATGCTTACTGGTTCGGACTTGGGGTTTATCATTCTGGTGTTCAGGGTTAGTTTTCCTACACCCTTGCTACTGTCGACATTCTACAATCAACTTTCCCTCTTGTGTTTTTTGGGATCTAAAAATGGTTTTGGGTTTTCTTTTCTTCCTTTTTACTAAATCTTTGGAAATGATTCCTTTCTCAGATTCTGTTTCCTTCATTCTTAGATCCAAGAAAAGAAAGTTGAAAACCTTAGCTGAAGTGAGTTTGAAGAAAATTATACTTTTTACTTGCTTTCCTTTTTCTGCTATATGTCTTTAAGAAAGTTTTTCTTTTTTGGGGTGGCAGTTCATGGGGTTGAATATGCGTTTGGGGCTCACGAATATCCAACAACTGGGATATTTGAGGCAGAACCCAAACAGTGCGATGGGTTCACCTTTAGGAAATCAATTTTGATCGGGAAAACGGAGTTGGGTCCTGCGGATGTGAGGGGAGTTATGGAGGATTTGGCCGATGAATTCAAAGGAAATGCTTACAATTTAATCACCAAAAACTGTAACCATTTCTGCAACGATGTTTGCATCAGGTTGACTGGGAATCCAATCCCCAGCTGGGTTAATCGCCTTGCTAGAATTGGTAACACTCTTAAACACTGCTTTTTTATGGGGTAGTTCTGCGGTGCGACGTCTAAAAAACGGTTAATATACGGCGTGACCGGTTAAATAAGTGATCGGTTAAAATTTAGACCGGTTATGTTATATTATTTAACCTGAAATATTATAAAGTACAATAACATACTAGGTAGCGCTTATATAATATAATAGGTAGCGCTTATATTGACCTATTTTATAAATAAACCGGTATATTTATACCGATAGCATTGTAAATTTACCTATTACATTATAATATGTTGAAAGTGTCTATACTTTTTTATAAAAAAGATCGATACTTTTTTTAAAGTTATGTAATTTATGTTTCAATTTTTTAATAGTGTTTTATGTTTTCCACCTATAATATTAATTTAATAATTTCATTTGCATAAAATATTATTTGATTGTTTTAATATTTTATAAAATAATATTTAGAATTTAAATTTAACAATATTAACCAAAGATAATAATAAATATGTAATATATATGTTTATTGTTTTTAATTTAATGATAATATATACCGTAACATAAAAAATAAATCATTAGATACATATAATTACTAAATTGATATCTTAAAACTCACTCAAAAGATAACCTTAAATTAATGTTTTCCATAGTGAAATAAGTATGGACACTTTTATAAAAATGATAGATACTTTACAATATAAGCACTACCTATTACATTATATAAACGCTACCTATTACATTATATAAGTGTTATCTATTGCATCATATTTTTACCTATTATATTGAAAGTGTCCATACTTTTTATAAAAATGATCGATACTTTTTTTAAAGTTATGTAATTTATGTTTCAATTTTTTTAAAAGTGTTTCATGTTTTCCACCTACAATATTAATTTAATAATTTCATTTGCACAAAAAATTATTTGATTGTTTTGATATTTTATAAAATAATATTTAGAATTTAAATTTAACAATATTAACCAAAGATAATAATAAATATGTAATATATATGTTTATTGTTTTTAATTTACTAAATTAATATTTTAAAACTCACTCAAAATATAACCTTAAATTAATGTTTTCCACAGTGAAAAAAGTATGGACACTTTTATAAAAAAGATAGATACTTTACAATATAAGCACTACCTATTACATTATATAAGCGTTACCTATTACATCATATTTTTACCTATTATATTGAAAGTGTCCATACTTTTTATAAAAATGATCGATATTTTTTTTAAAGTTATGTAATTTATGTTTCAATTTTTTAATAGTGTTTCATGTTTTCCACCTACAATATTAATTTAATAATTTTATTTGCACAAAAAATTATTTGATTGTTTTGATATTTTATAAAATAATATTTAGAATTTAAATTTAACAATATTAACCAAAGATAATAATAAATATGCAATATATATGTTTATTGTTTTTAATTTAATAATAATATATATCATAACGTAAAAAATAAATCATTAGACGTTATAATTACTAAATTAATATCTTAAAACTCACTCAAAAGATGTACATACCTAAATATGTAGTTATTGTACATACCTAAATTTAATGAAATATACTTGTAGTTATTGTACATACCTAATATGTACTGCGAATTTAATGTTGTACCCACCCTTTAACTACCACTACCAATACCACATCCTATTGAAAGCAGCACGACTGAAACATGTTCAAAATGAACCTTTGCTTACATCTCCATCAACTCCTGGACCACTGAACTTGCACAACAAAATTTTTGCCATGGATAATACTGATGTAGACAATGTTAAGCCAACCGAGGAATGCCATGAAGTACATAATGTTGATGAATCTGACAGATTGGTTGGTCAGCTCTTCTGTTCACGTGATCAAGCTTGGTACTTTTACAAGGGATTCGCACGGGAACATGGGTTTAGTGCACGTAAGGGAACAACACGGCTTGACGTGGAAGGGAATGTGAAGACACAAGAATTTTGTTGTTCCAAAGAAGGGTTTCGAGTATCAAAAGTCAATACTGTTGATCGTCAACATGCTCATACGCCAGTCACAAGAACATGATGTAAGGTTAGAGTCGTAGTTACAGCAACAAATACAAACGATCAGTGGGTTATAAGTAAGTCTGATCAGAAACATAATCATGCATTGAGCACACCTGCTATGACACCATTTATGCGTTCTAATAGAGCTGTAAGTAAGGCTGATATCGATGAGGCAACAACATTGAAAGAGGTCGGTGTTGGCACGTCACAAGTAATGAACTATTTAACGCAGCAGGCAGGGGGCTATCATAATGTTGGATTTACACATAAAGACCTCTACAATGCACTTCAAAGAGGTAAAGCAAAGGAAATCGTCGATGGGGATATGAATGCGCTTATTGCCTACTTTGATTATAAGAAACATGATGATCCCGGGTTTTTTATGACATACTCGGTAGACGAATCAGGGGCATTGTATAATCTTATATGGTCGGATTCTACATCGAGATCGGATTACACATGCTTCGGTGATGTAATTGCGTTCGAAACAACGTACAAAGCTAATTTGTATGGTCGACCAATTATGCCTATTGTTGGTGTCAATCATCACTGAAGATACTCATTTTTTCATTTAAATATTATTTATATTATTATTATAATTATTATTATTATTTTATTATTAATAAATACAGGCCCAAATCAGACTGGACCGGCCCAGTTACAAAGGACGCAACTGGCCCAAGCGTATAGGAAACCCTAAACCCAATTTAGGGTTTGTATCATCTCTTACCCCAGCCGCCAGCATCACAGCCGTTGGATCTAGTTTTGATCCAATGGCCCAGATAGTCCCAACAAGGAAACCCTAGGGTATCATAACCCTAGGGACACGTCCCAACCCCCGCTACAGCCACGAAGACGCCGCCTCACCAGAAGCTTCCAGAAGGCCAGCTGCCCCCCACATGTCGCGGCTATGGGGTGAGTCACCACATAGCTCGATGACTCGCCGAACTTCCCCCTCTAGACCGGTCCGAGCATGGCTCGGTGGTGGCTATAAAAGCCACCGGATCCTACAAAACAAAGAAGAGAGACATAAACGAAGAGAGGGCAAGCAAACCAGTAACCACACACAGCCACAGAGAGCAAGAAAAAAAGAGAGAGATACGAACATCAACCAAGAAGTCAGAGGAAAATAACACAATAACCATCAAAATCCATAAACACAGAAGGAAAGAAAAAGGAGATAAGCTTACCAATAGAGACACGCGATCATCGGAGCCTTTTCATCTTGTCGGAGAACCGAAAATACCGAAGGTATTTTCTTAGATTTAAGAAAATCTAAGGGTTTTTAGGAAAAAAATGAGGTTAGATTCGGGTTCGTGGCAAGTAGATCTTTGAGATTAGGGTATTTTTTGCATATTTCGACCACCGTGAGTGGTGGTCGGCGGTGGTGTCGGTGCCGGAGTATGGCTATCAGCCGATGGTCGGCTAACCTCCGTTTGGAGGATTGAAGAGAGATGCGAGAGAGTTTCTCTTCTCTCTCAGATAGAGAGAGAAGATGAAAGATGAAAATGAGAAGCTGGCTCTTAAGGGCCCGCCTTTTGGGATTTTTAAGCCCTTCCCCAAACGACGCCGTTTTGGGGGAGGGGTATATCTGTAATTTCTCGCGTGGGTAAACCATACCAGCTGCCACCACAGTTTTGTAACTTTTCATTTTGGTCACTGAAATCAAATCTTGAACCTTTTAATTCGGTCTTTCAATTTTATTTAGTTTATAATTAGTCCTAGCCTGTATACTTATATATATTTAGGGTAAATACCATATTTAGTCCTTATAACTTTAATAATTTTTATTTTGACTTCTAATTAATTAATTAAGGATTAATTACATTAGTAACACCTAGTTTTTATAATATTTCAAACTAGAGCTTTTAATCTTGATATGTCATAATTTAGTCACCAATTTTAATTATAAGTTTTATTACTTTTTATATTTAATTTTATTATTTATATTTTAATTTTATATGTTTAAATTATTATTTTCATAATTATTTTATTATTATCTTATTCATATAAATATATACCTATATTCTTTTAAAGAATAATGTTTATTTATTTTCAATATCAAAGAAAATGGCAGTCTTAAAATAACTGGATGTTCTATTCTGGTATTTTAAATAATTAAACATTATAAAAATTATAATTTAGTTTCATTTAAATTATTTAAATTTTAATATTTATTTTTATTTATTAATATTGAAGAAAAGAGCTGTCTTAAGGTACGTAGAAGCCCTTTTCTTATATTTTTGAATAAATAAATATCTTACTATATTAAAATAAATTTTTATTATCTTAAGAAAATGTTTTAGTCATTTATTTATTTTTTAATATCGAAGAAAAGAGCTGTCTTAAAGCACCTAAAAATCTTTTTCTGATATTTCTAAATAAATAAATATTTTTTATAAATATATTTAAATTAATATATTCTTAAAAATTATAGTAATAAAATTTGAAATAATATAATTAAATATATCTTTGAATTTTTAAATTTCCAATAATAGAGACAATTTATAATTAAAAAGTACCAATTTTGGGCGTTGTAGGGGTGCTAATCATTCCCTAAACGTAATCGACCACGAATCCCTTTTTATTATTGAAAAAAACAAATTTTTGGTTAAAACGCAGACTAGTTTATCTTTTAAATGATGTTTTCTTAAAAACTCTTTTAAAAGATGACTTTTTAGGTATTCGACCTACCTAACCCAAAAGGCCGATGGTGACTCCCAAAATATTTTTTTTAAAAAAAAATCAAAATCATTAATTTATTCACATCACTTTTCCCGCCAAGTAAAAATTCGTGCCCGGACGAAAACCGGTTACGACAGCTTGGCGACTTGTCAAACTTTAAAATTAATTATAAATTGTCTCTATCAATTAGAAATTAAAAATTCATATTTATTTAATTTTTAATTCTTTTATTTCAAAATTTTTATTACTTATTATTTTCATAATATTTATTATATATTTATTATTTATTATTTTAT